CACAAAATCATAGCATAATTTMGGTTGGAAAAGACCCTGAAGATCTAGCCCAACTGTTAACCCATCACAGCCAAGTCCACCACTAACCCACATCCTTAACCATGTCTACATGTCTGTTAAATACCTATGGGGCCTCAACCAGTTCCCACAGCAGTCCCTTCCAACAATCCTTTCATGATGAAATTTTTCCTAACACCCAATTTAAACCTTCCCTGGTGCAACTTGAGGCCGTTTYCTCTTATTTTGTCTCTTTTAACTTATTTCAGGTACTGCAGAGAGTGGTAAGGTCTCCCCTGAACCTTTTTCTYCAGGCTAAACAAACCCAGCTTCCATAGCCACTCCTCATAGGACTTGTACTCCAGACCCTTCACCAGCTCCARCTGCCCTTCTCTGGACACACTCCAGCACYTCCATGTCTTTGTTGATTGAGGGGCTCAGAACTGGACACAGCACTTGAGATGCAGCCTCAGCAGTGTTGAGTACAGGGGGACTATCACTRCCCTAATCTTGCTGGCCACACTATTGTYGATACAGGCCAGGATGGCATTGGCCTGCTTGGCCACCTGGACACACTCTGGCTCATGTTSAGCTGCTGTCMAGCAGCACCCCCAGGCCCTTTTCCACAGAACAGTTTTCCAGCTACTCTGCCCCTAGCCTGTAGCACTGCAGAGGGTTGTTGTGACACAAGGGCAGGATTTGGCACCTGGTCTTGTTAAACTTTATACTGTTGGATTCACTCCACCCTATCCAGATCCCTCTGCAGAGCCTTTCTAYTCACCAGCAGAGCAACACTCCCACCCAACTTGGTGTTGTGTGTGAACTCTGGTAGCTCTCAATCTCTTTGTCCAGACCATTGATAAAGACATTAAACAGGACTGATCCCAATACWGAGCCTTGGGAAACCTCTACCCATGACCAGCTTCCAGCATGATGTAACTCCATTCACCACTAGTTTAGGTCCATACATCCCATTTTTTACCTAGTGAGGAGTGTACCCATCCAAGCCCTAAGCAGCCAGTTTCTCCAGAAGAATGCTGTGGGAAATCATGATAAAGGCTGTAATGCAGTCCAGGTAGACAACATGCACAGCCTTTCTCTCATCCACTAGGTGGRTCACTTGGTCATAGAAAATCAGGTCGTTCAAGCAAGACTTGCCTTTCCTAAACCCATCCTAMCTGGGCCTAATGCCCTGGTTGTCCGGTATGTGCCACACAGTAACACTATGATGACTTGTTCCATGACCTTCCATGGTACCAGCATCAGGCTGACAGGCCTGCAGTTTCCCAGATCATTCTTTCAAACCTTCTTGTAGATGAGTGTCATATTTGTSAACCTCCAGCCAACCAGGACCTCCCATGCTGACCAGGACTGATGGTAAATGATTGAAAGTGGTTCAGTGAGTRCTTCCCTCAACGCAGGAAATCATGGCTGGAAAGCAACTGGCAGAAAAGGACTTGGAAGTGCTGACTGACAACCCCTGACAGCAGTGTGCCTAGGTGGCCAGAAGGCCAGTGACAACCCTGGCCTGTCTTAGCAATAGTGTGGCCGTGATTGTCCCTTTGTACGTGGCACTGGTGAGGCCACACCTCGAATTTAACATTCAGTTCTAGGCCCCTCAGTACAAGAAAGACATGGTGGGGCTGGAGCGTGTCCAGAGAAGGACACAAGCCTGGTGAAGGGTCTGGAACACAAGTCCTGTGAGGAGCTGGGGTTTTTTAACCCTGGAGAAAGGAGGCTCAGGGAAACSTTATCRCTCTCTACAAGTGCCTGAAACGAGACTGTAGACAGGTGGGAGTCGGTCTCTTTTCCCAGGCCACTCACAACAGAAGAGGAAATGGACTCAAACTGCATCAGGGGAGGTTCAGGTTGGACATCAAGAGAATTTTTTTCAGTGAAAGGGTGGTTAAGAATTGAAAGGAGTTACCCAGCAGGGTGAGGGAGTCCCCKAGTCCTGAAGTGGTCAAGAACTAACTGGATGTGGTGCTTAGTGATACGTTTTAGCTGACAGATTGGTGTTTGTCAAAGGTTGGCCTTGATGATCTTGGAAGTCTTTTCCAACCTTAGTTGGAACKGTGCCATTTTTCAGCTCAGGGGGCTGGTACACAGAGATCAACCGCTCGTACTGTTCAAGACTAAGAAAAAGAAGGCATTAAATACCTCAGACTTTTTCTCATCCTTTGTCACTGTTTCCTCCTGCATCCAATAAAGGATGGAGATTCTACTTAACCCCCTCTTGCTGCTGATGCATTTATAGAATTTTTTTTTCTCTTTTATGGCAGTAACAAATTCTAGCTGCATTTYGGACCTTCTAATTTTTCTCCCTGAATAATCTCATGACATCCTTTAGTCTTGAGTTGCTTGCCTYTTCTTCCAAAGGTCCTAATCTCTCCCTTCTTCCTCCAGCTTCAGCCAGAGCACCCTGTTTAGCCAGGCCAGTCTTCTTCCCTGCTGGCTCACCCTTCAGCACATGGGGACAGTGATTACCACCATCTTTAGAACACCATGTTTGGGAAGGAGGATTAATAATTAAGAAGTTTTAATATGAAAACATTTGTATAGACCACTAGCTTCCAAACACACAGCAACTGATAATCCCTTATTAAAGGTTGATTTCCCTGGATTATTATCAGGGGTTGATTTTACTCTAAGGT